TGACACTGACATCAATAGTGATACTAATATAGTGATTAGTAATACTATACACTGTATAACACTGTATACATTGTATACACTGGTTAACAGGACAGGTGTGAAAAGTTTATGACCTCTGGGCTGTGCAATCTGCAGAGTTTACAGAAGGTCACATAGAATCCCAGGTCCCACTGATATGCCTGCACAGCAGCTGGATTATCGTTTGTAAAAGCCATGAGACACATAAAACAATATTGCATTCTGCTTTACGACTAATAACCACTTGCCCTCCAGAGGATTTACCCCCTTCCTGACCAGGCCCTTTTTTGCGATACGGTGCTGTGTTACTTTAACTGACAATTGCGTGGTCATGCAATGCTGCACCCAAATTAAATTTATGTTCTTTTTTTCCCTACAAATGGAGCTTTCTTTTGGTGGTTGCCTCTGCTCTTTTATTTTTTGCTCTATTAATAAAAAGAGTGAAAATTTAAAAAAAAAAAAAAATATTTTCGACTTTTTGCTATTAAACATGTCCAGTAAAAAATTTTAAAAATCAAATTTCGTGATAAATTTATGCCAAAATATATTCTGCTACATGTCTACATGTACAAAATCTCAATACGTGTAAATGAATTGGTTTACATGAAAGTTATAATGTCTACAAATGATTAAAGCGTGACAGGGTGCTGCGCTACTAAGTGACTGATATGTGAAAAAAATTAAGGACATAAACTAAATATATATAAAGTCCCTCATCTGCATAAATGGTGCAAAAAATGGCAAGTGATAGTACCGGCTACAGAAAAACGGGTATGAAGTACTAGTGACACAAGTGAACATATCAATGGCTGATGTATACAATAGTGACTCAGTCCCAAATGATCAAACAAAATTAATTGATGAGTGACTCAATCCAAAAACATAAAAAAAAAAATGACTCAGTCCCCCAAAAAAATATACAAAAAATAAATCAATAATAAAAAAAAAAATAAATAAAAATATGACAGTCCCAAAAATTCAGAAAACAATCCAAAAAAAAAAAAAAAAAAATCTTCAGTGCATGCCGTGACACATCCAGTGCTGCAAACATAAATGAACAAATCCTCCACCGGCTAGCGTGTGCGCTCACCTTCACAATTCAACCCACAAGGAGTCACAAAGCATAGGAAGCCTCAAACAATGATTTCCAAGACAAAGGTCATCTCCAATGGAGCCAAGAAACACTCTCAAGCATGCTTCAGAAATGGCTGCAGACCTCTGTTATCCCCAATGCCTCACATAGAAGATGCAAGCAAGAAGACTCAAGTTAGTTCTGCGTTCATTTTTTCGCCTCAGGTCATTCAAGTTAACAATGAGATGATGTTCATTTGCGCTCATCATAGCCCTGACTTTTCCATGATAAACACATTGATCTTGATCATCATCCAGAAAGTCCAGGTATTCCTTCTGTGCCTCCTGCAGCTTTTTTTGTTTTTTTTGGGGTTACTTGGGGTAGGAAAGTAGCGCAGAAGGTTCATCTCTATACAATGTCTACAATGGCGGTATATATATATTCTGACACTGGGGGGAACTGACTTGGTGTCACTGACATCCCCAGTGACACCAGTACAGTGATCAGTGCTGATAAAAAGCACTGACACTGTACTAATGGCACTGGGCATGAAGGGGTTACCATCTGTGGCGATCAAAGGGCTAACTGTGTGCTGTGTGCAGTTTCACTATGGGGGCTGCGTGTGTGCTTCACTGTAAGCACATTGCTTTGTATGGCTCTACTATGCAGAGCCATACAAAGCAGTGTGCAGGAGCTGACAGGGGAGAGATCTGTATTGTTTACATACAGGTCTCCCCCCCCCCCCCCGTCAGTAATGCTCAGAAATCGCTGGGTACTGATAAGTAATCACCAGCTGGGACCTGGTGATTGACAGCCGAGGCCACAGATGGCGGCGCAGAACTACCCTCAACTGCAAAATCATGTATACATGATTTTGCGCACCCGAGCCACCCTGTAGCAGTATTTCTGCTATAGGGCGGCACGTAACTGGTTAAAATGAATTTTCACATACAGCTAGTATAAGTATCTTAATCTGTCTTAGAAATATTCTTTTGTCATCCCCTGCACAGCAGAAGGCCAGGAAAGAGAGCAACAGCACTCTAATACCTGCTACACACCATCAGTTTCTTTTAATCAACCAGCGGGCTGAACAAAAAAACCCAAAGAGCTCAGAAGGAGCTTGCTGTGCTAACTGTCCGATGTTAGTACAGTTATCACCCCTTGAGCTATTGTGTTCTGACGGGGGGGCGGGGGACTGCCTCGCCAGAACACACCAATTACACACACATTGATCAGATGCCAATTGGATGCTGGTTTTCCAGCATGGCCATTCGACACGGGGCTAAAGTCATTTTGGCTTTGCTACATGAATGAACAGAAACGACCAATCGGTGTGTTGCTACTCTTTCATTGCCAGATCAGCAGGTTGTGGGTGAATAAGTGAGACCATTGAATTTATTAAAGCGGTAGTAAACTGCAGGAAAAAATAAAAAAAACGATGGGCCCCTGCATGTTTAGGTCATAATGTACTAGTATGCACCACATGCTAGTACATTATGACAGATTTATCTGTACATGGAGCCCTCCAGCACAGCACTGCCATGGCTCCCCAGCACTGCCATTTTCACCGGGTCTTCCTTCTGGGTTCATGGGCTCCAGCCGTATTAATGTCCGTGACCGCGATGGTGTCACTCCTGCATGTGTGCTCGGAAGTCCTTGGTTACGGCACTGAACTCTGATGGTCCAGCACAATACCTTCAGAACAGAAGCGCCGGTGACCTCACTAGCTGCATGTTTTGTGAATATCTCCTAAACAGTCCAAGTTTGGGAGATGTTCACTGTACCTACAGGTAAGCCTTATTATATGGCTTATTATATGGCTTAACTGTAGGTAAAAGTTCTAAAGTGGACTTTAACTAAATATGATTGCTGAAGATTTCACTCAAAGGCTATGCCTGGATTAATTGGGACATGGGATGTCCTAAGTTTATGTAGAGGGAACCAGCCAAAGCCAAGCTATACACTGAGGAGGTAGTCCTCCTCTGTGACTCTCTCCTGCAGACTCATCGCACCCTCTACCCACTTCCTGTGAGCCCATGGCATCAAGGATCCTTCCTGTGAAGTAGTTTCATCCAGACTCCCTCTGTTCACAGGGGAAAGCAGTGGTTGAAAATAGCACCATATTATTACTTGATCCCATTCACTACAGCATTCGAGAACCACAAACTGTTCGAGAAAGAAGAGCAGTGATGTCATATGGCCAACTATAAAATTGAACAGAATTACAAATCCTTTGACAGATAAAACAGTTATATGGGCACTTTAACAGCTGCTAATACTGTTACTCAAACCTCTACATATTTCCTTGCTTTCTCTTTGTTTCTCTGATGCAAGTCCTCATCTTTGCCATGCCTGGTTGTCTTCTATGGTAGCCAGCACATAATCTAGACCAGTGCTTCTCAACCATTTTTCAGTCAAAGCATATTTAACCACTTCCAGTCCGGACACTTTCACCCCCTTCCTGACCAGGGCAATTTTCAGCTTTCAGCGCTATCACACTTTGAATGACAATTGCGCAGTCATGCAACACTGAACCCAAATTAATTTTTTACCATTTTTTTGAGACAGATAAAGCTTTATTTTGGCGGTATTTATTCACCGCTGGGATTTTTATTTTTTTTGCTATGTAAATGAAAAAGTCCAAAAATTTTGAAAAAAGTGTTTTTTTTTATAACATTTTGCAAATAAATAATATTTCATCATAAATCTTGGCCAAAATTTATTCCGTCATCTTATTAGTAAAAAAAAACAAAAACAAATTAATTTATAACCAAAAATTATAATTTTTTAAAAAAAATTTTTACATTTTTTATTTTATTTTTTTATATTGTTTTTTATTTATTTTTTTTTTTTACATACTGTCACCCTAGCAGTACAGTGTCACCATGGTGACACTGTACTACTTGTGGGGGGTGATGAAGATTTTTTTTTTTTTTACACTGATTGCTTTTACACCCATATAGGATGTAAAAGCAATCATTTCTCTTTCTCTCTGTGTGCATTCCTGCACTCATTGAGAAGTACTGAGTGAGCTGTGATTGGTCACAGCTTGTCACATGGTACAAGGCTGTTGTGAATAGCCTTGTACTATGTGACCTCTGTGATCATTCACAGATTTCACACGTAGTAAGCGATGATGTCACAAGTGACATCTTGCTTACTACTTTGCATGTGATCACTGATTGACCATGTGATCACTGATTGGCGCGCAGCACCGGATCGTGGTGCTGCACGCTCCCAGGGAGCGCGCACAAGCAGGGTGCGGGGAGGCCGTTTATAAACGGCCACCCGACCCTGCAGTGCCACCGTCCGGCCGTTTATATGCAACGGCCGGTCGGGAAGTGGTTAAAAATTCTGCACAATCACAAGGCACCCATTATGAGGTGATGTATGCTTCTCTGATGTAAACACACCTTTGCACACTGTTACTGACTAGTATTCCAATGTTCTCTTCTACCACAGTTTCTCTCCCTCACTCCTTCTTATCAATGTGTAACACCCTTGCTGTAATGTCAGCTGCAGGATGTTTATTACCCCTAGCACCCTGACATGCGTAGATGGGTTGATAGTTGTGCTATTGATCTTGATCGAGAAATTAGAGGAAGAGTCACTTGGGGGAGGAAATATTATGAGCTCAGTTTTGGATAGATTGTGTTTTAGGAAGTGGTGTGATATTTAGTCGTGAGGAAACTGATCTGGTGAGCTCAGGAGTAGAGAGATAGATTTGTGTGTCATCAGCATAGAAATGGTATTGGAAACCATGGCAAGCTATCTGCTGACCCAGTGAAGAAGTGTAGATCAAGAATAGGAGAGGTTCAAGGACAGAACCTTGTGGGACCCCGACAGTAAGAGGAGTAGGAGAGGAGGAGGTAGAGTTGTAAGTGACATTGAAGAAAACAAAAAGAAAAAACTATTATTATACAATCCTATATACACAGGTCTGAAGAAAAGGCTGGTTGCCTTGAAACGCGTCACCACCCCCTTGGACGACTCCCAGCAACGTCTTGACGTCACTTCCGCTCGGCGGCCATCCTGGATGCGCCTCAAGCTGGTCCCATCACCCACGCTGATGTGAGAGACTAGCCGCGCCCGCCCTGGAGCACGGTTCTTCTCTGCGCCGCGACTCCCGGTAACTGCGCCTGCCGTCCTCGCTCCCTCCTGTGGGACCCACCTAGAGCGCCAGCCGTTGAATACCCTGGCACTGCAGCCATCTGCTCGTGATGTGCAGCACAGATGATGTCCACCTCTTTATATTTGATGCCTGATACCTACCCACGTCTTGTGAGTTTTTAATATCTTGTGTGCAATAAACTGTTATAATCTTACTGCACTTAGTCTGGTGCACCTCTCTCTCTCCTCTACAATCCTATACCAACAGTTGATCCAGATTAAGGCATCCCCCCAATAAAGCTTGATCCAGTTTGCTCCAGCATGGGAAAAAGGTCTGTCAGGGCTCCCAGGTATGACCAGAGGTGTGTGACTGACGCAGGGAAACGCAGACTTCAGATATGTTATAAACAATATAATTTATTGACACTAACAATACAAACATAAACGCAGTGCAATACTAAAACATAACACAGTGCAAACAAACCCAACCAACCACCCACAGATAACAGTACATATAATGCAAGCGTCGTCAGGCAGGCCGGGTCAATATCAATCGGGCAGGTAGGTACAGGGGGAGCAAGCGGAGAATGGTCGGGGTCACAAGCCAGGTTCAGCAGGTAGCAGGAAGCGTGGTACAGAGGGTCAGGCAGAGGGATGGTCAGGAACGAGCCGGGGTCAGAGCAGGAGAAGTCAGCAGAGGTCAGATCAGGCAGGGTCAGCAACAAGACAGGAACAGGATGCAGGAACAGGATACAGGGCCCAGGAAAAACACACACCAAGGCAGAGTCTGCAGGTCTGGCCATCCCTTAAATACACCAGTATAATCAGTTCCAGGTGTTTGACTGGCTGCAAGGTTGAGTCTCTGATTGCTGGGAGCACCCGCTGGCCAGCCCTGGTACTGCAGCTCATAAGGCAGGTGAGTCCCACCATTGCTGGCCAGTCCATTCCTGACAAGGTCCTTCCTGATCCTCCAAGAGGGAATCGGATACTCCCTGGATCAATGTTATCTTTAACTTTATCTATAAGTGTTAGTATCCAGTTAAATTTTGTATCTAGGAAATAATCCAGGCCTTTTATAGCGCAATCTACTGAACTAGCTAGAACCAGCTCTTGAGGGAGTCTGTGCCATATTTTCACAGCTCTTATTGTGAAGAAACCTTTCCGTATTTGGAGCTTAAATCTCTTTTCCTCAAAACGTAAAGAGTGCCCCCTTGTCCTCTGTGATGACCCTAAAGTAAATAATTCTACACCGAGTTCACTATATGAACCACTGATGTATTATACATGTTGATCATATCTCCCTTAATCTCCTCTTCTCAAGAAAGAAAACATTCACTTCCTCTAATCTTTCCTCATAGCTGATCTCCTCCATGTCTCTATCACTTTGGTTGCTCTTCTCTGTACTTTCTCCAGTTCCCCGATATCCTTTTTATGAATTGGTGTCCAAAACTGAACTGCATATTCCAGATGAGGTCTAACTAATGATCTCATCCTTATTCTAAGAAACAACCAAGACTGGGATTTAGCTCATGTTTATAGATATATGGTTAAATTGGGGCTATTTTGTATTATGCTCCCCTTCCCTGGATGGTTGTCCTTTGGACTGGCTGTGAATATGTACAGTGGGGATCGAAAGTTTGGGCACCCCAGCTAAAAATTTGTATTAATGTGCATAAAGAAGCCAAGGAAAGATGGAAAAATCTCCAAAAGGCTTCAAATTACAGATTAGATATTCTTATATTATGTCAACAAAAGTTAGATTTTATTTCCATCATTTACACTTTCAAAATAACAGAAAACAAAAAAATGGCGTCTGCAAAAGTTTGGGCCCCCTGCAGAGTTAATATCTTGTACTGCCCCCTTTGGCAAGTATCACAGCTTGTAAACGCTTTTTGTAGCCAGCCAAGAGTCTTTCAATTCTTGTTTGAGGTATCTTTGCCCATTCTTCCTTACAAAAGTCTTCCAGTTCTTTGAGATTTCTGGGCTGTCTGTCACGCACTGCTCTTTTAAGGTCTATCCATAGATTTTCAATTATGTTGAGGTCAGGAGATTGTGAAGGCCATGGCAAAACCTTCAGTTTACGCCTCTTGATGTAATCCCCTGTGGATTTTGAGGTGTGTTTAGGATCATTATCCATTTGTAGAAGCCATCCTCTCTTTAACTTCAGCTTTTTCACAGATGGCATCAAGTTACCATCCAAAATTTGCTGAAATTTTATTGAATCCATTTTTCCTTCTACTCGTGAGATGTTCCCTGTGCCACTGGCTGCAACACAACCCCAAAGCATGATTGATCCAACCCCATGCTTAACAGTTGGACAGAGGTTCTTTTCATTAAATTCTGTGCCCCTTCTTCTCCAAACGTACCTTTGCTCATTCCGGCCAAAAAGTTCAATTTTAACCTCATCGGTCCACAGAACTTGTTTCCAAAATGCATCAGGCTTGTCTATATGTTCATTTGCAAAGTTCCAACGATGATTTTTTGTGGTGAGGACGTAGAAGAGGTTTTCTTCTGATGACTCTTCCATGAAGACCATATTTGTACAAGTATCTCTTTATAGTGGAATAGTGTACCACAACTCCAGTGTGTGCCAGATCTTTCTGGAGGGATCGTGCAGTCAAACGTGGGTTTTGAATTGTTTTTCTCACAATCCTGCGAGCTGTTCTGTCGGATATTTTTCTTGGTCTTCCAGATGTTGCTTTAACTTCCACTGTTCTTGATGACTACCATTTCTTAATTACATTCCGAACAGAGGATATTGACATCTGAAAACACTTTGCTATCTTCTTATAGCCTTCTCCAGCTTTTGTGAGCGTCAACTATTTTCAGTTTCAGTTTTCTAGACAATTGCTTAGAAGAACCCATGGTGCTGATTGTTGGGGCAAGGTCAGATGAGTCTGGGCATTTAAAACCTTTGAGATTGACATCACCTGGTCTTCCCAGACGATGATTGAGAACAATCCATGACACCGGCAGGTCTCAGCTTGGCAAAGGGGGCAATGCATGCTATAAATTCTGCAGGGTGCCCAAACTTTTGCAGATGCCATTTTTTTGTTTTCTGTTATTTTGAAAGTGTAAATGATGGAAATAAAATCTAACTTTTGTTGACATATTATAAGAATGTCTAATCTGTAATTTGATGCCTTTTGGAGATTTTTCCATCTTTCCTTGGCTTCTTTATGCACATTAATACAAATTTTTAGCTGGGGTGCCCAAACTTTCGATCCCCACTGTATGTGGTTCCTAGTGTGCTCATTTGGCATTCTTGTGGGATGAGGAACAAATTGAAATGGGTTTGGTTCCCATGGCAGGGGATAGTCCTGTCAAAAAAATTTCAACAACTGATATTTATATTCACTAACACTGCCAGAGGGCATGGGTGATGTAATAGTCAATGTCACCTGTAATTTGTATCATAATACCAAACATTTTGATGCAATTTTTTAAAATAAAGATTCCATTGTATGAATAATGCATGTATTCTTTTATTTTTTGCCTTAACCTCCCTAGCGGTCTGATTATGTCCATATTTCTGTGCTCAAAGTGGTACATTTTTTTGCATGGAAATATGTATTTTTTTATTGTAGGCCTGTAATTCTTAGGAATAACTCACTGAAATCTGTCTGAACAAGAGTCTAGTAAACATCCCGGGTAGGATAAAATTTGAAACACGAAATCATAAATTATAGTATAATAAATAATCATAAAAAATAATAATATAATAATTTAATTTAATTCAATAATATAATCAAACCAAAAACACTGAAATTTGAAATAGAGTGCCAAGTTCTCAGATCGCTGAGTTCAGTTGCAAAATCGTTTTCAATGTCTGATGACGAATTTCCCCACGAATCATTATCACTCAATTCTGCAAGTGGTTCTCTTTTTGGACGCCATGGACTTTTCTCAGTTTCCAGGCAGAAAGAACAGCAAAAATGCAGGCAGGGCACAGGACAAAGCACTCGGGACAAAACGTATGTGAAATGGTTTGATACAGTAATGTTTTACTATGTGATTTTAGTGTATTTAGTGAATGTCACTTTTTATCATTTTTAATTACCCACCGGTTCCATCCCCCATACATCCCGTACGTCCCAACGCTCGCAGGGAACGGAACCCGGAGACGGATGCCGGCATCGGCTGGAGGAGATGGCCAGGGACGCTGCGATGTGCGGGAGCAAAGGACAAGGTAAGTGCAAGAGGGAATCCCTGAGCTAATTTATATTTACACAGGAGGTCTAGTGCTAGAATTACTGCCCTCGATCTGACGTTCACGGTGATACCTTACATGCAACATCACATGAGGGTCCTTTTTCTTTTTCTTTTTTAGTTATTTTGATTTTTTTTTTTATTATTTTTACACTGTCCCTTTAATTTTTTTTTATCACTTTTATTGCTATCACAGGGAATGTAAATATGTAATGTAAGTACAATAAATAAATGCAATAGGCATTGACAGGTATTCTTTTTTGAGAAATCTGGGGTCTATTAGACTCTACATCATCTGATGTCACCAAGATCGGTGTGATCAGATGCTTTCCTAATTCACCAATGGCACCATTCTGGTCTCCGATCAGCTCTATGATCAACCAGTGGAACTGCCAGTTGCATTCTCGGATTAATTGCGGGAGAGGAGAGCCCAAGAAAACTGTGGAAGGTGGCAGGAGGGGGGAAATATGTCCCTTCCCTCTGCTTGTAAAAATGATTCAGCAGCTACAGTGGATATAAAAAGTCTACACACCCCTGTTAAAATGTCAGGTTTATGTGATGTAAAAAAATGAGACAAAGATAAATAATTTCAGAACTTTTTCCACCTTTAATGTAACCTATAAACTGTACAACTGAATTGAACAACAAACTGAAATCTTTTAGGTGGAGGGATGTAAAAATAAAAAACTAAAATAATATGGTTGCATAAGTGTGCACACCCTTAAGCTAATACTTTGTTGAAGCACCTTTTGATTTGATTTGATTTGATTCCAGCACTCATCCTTGTGGGATGAGGAACAAATTGAAATGGGTTTGGTTCCCATGGCAGGGGATAGTCCTGTCAAAAAAATTTCAACAACTGATATTTATATTCACTAATACTGCCAGAGGGCATGGGTGAT